TTGAGGTGTGCATATTTGTCTTCATTAAAAGCATGGATGTGAAAAATTCTGGATGATATCAAATGCATCTCAGGGAAGGACCGCTGTATTTCTGGACACATTATTCTACTATTATTCATTGATTCCACACTTTGAACAAGCACAGATTCTCAACTATCTCTTCATATAGGATTTTCACTGAAGGCAGACTTACATGTCAATATTCATTGGGGACAACCTATTAGCACAAGCAGTATAACATTAACATAATCAGAGAAGAGGGGAAAGCCTAGTTATAGACTATGTGCCACCTCAAGATAGTGTCTTCTCTCCCTTTCATTCTAGCAAACAACAATATAGATGCGTAAACTGGCACTGGAATTCTATTACAGGTAGGGACAAGGAGGATTATTGAAACAGTGGGCTGTCCTATCCAATAGTGCTATTCAGACTGCTAATACATTCATATACTACTATCAAATGGAAAAACAGTGGAACTTGACTAACACATTGGATTTACATCATAAAGAGTAGAAGCACTTACTCTGGTATGTCTCTACTTTGCAATTGTTTCCCTTCAGTGTTTCTGGGGTTTATTTCTGTTCTAGAACAGAACACTGCAGTTATGTGTTACTTTACACCAGCCTGGGAAAAGTGTAGTTTCTTGTGTAAGAGCAAAGTGTTTCTGCGTGCACAAAATGTGAATGTGTGCCATAAATAATTCCCACTTATCTAGCCCATGGAGCCATGAATTATTAACACCTCTCTTGTTCCTTAGTTTTTCTATAATATATATTACTTTGTTTTATCCTTGAAGTTTCCCATTGGTTCATGCACAATAAATAATTCTTCCATATGCCAACAACTATGAAGCTTTGGAAATGTTGTGTTGGTCCTTTTTGCATTCAGTCTATTATTCAGGGAGAACAAGGCATAGGCCAGGGTTAGACAACCTTTCCCCTTTAAGGGCCGAGGGACTTCAGCTCCCAGAAGCCTCAGCCATGTTAACCAATAGTCCCATGTTGGCCAATAGCTCCTGGGATTCTGGGAGCTGAAGTCCCTTGGCTCTTAAAGGGGAAAGGTTGCCTACCCCCGGCATAGGCAGTACCTTTGTGCAACTGACATTTTGGGGTGGGTTTTTGTTTTTGGTTTTTAAAATATTTTTTATTATAACATAAAAACATAATCTCTACATATACATATTTACAAATGCAATTACTCAAAAGACAAACATAAAAATAACTTCCCTTCCTTTACTGTGAATATATATATATATATATATATATATATATATATATATATTTAATAATACCTCTGACTTTCCAATTTTCTTATTACCTGCAACAATAGATCACTCTTAAATCCATATTATACTTTAATTTGCATCTATCATGTCATTTCTTTTTACCTGTCCCACACTGTATATAAGATCTGGACATTTCAACATATTATCCAAGATCGAGCAATATTTTTCTTACTTTACCTGTAATGTAATTTTTTCCTGTATTGTATTTTTCCCCCTTTTTTATTCCTTAAGAGCCATCACACTGTTTTCTCCCCATTTTTGTGTGAGATATTTCATGACCAGGGACCAGTCATTTTTATATCTATTCCTAGTTTGATCTCTCAACAGACACACAAGTTTATCCATCTCCATTATGTCATACAGTTTAAATAACCAATCCTCTAAAGCTGGTACATCTTTGCTTTTCCATTTTCTTGCAATCACAGATCTTGCTGCATACAAAATGTAAAATATAATTTTGCCATATTTCTTTTCATTTTCTTCATCTGTCATTCCTAATAAATATGTGGTGGGTTCCATATTCATCCTAATATTCAGATTTTTTCCTATTTCCGTATGTATTTGTGACCAAAACTTTTTTTGTTCTTTTACATTCCCACCACATGTGTATATAAGTACCACTGTTTTCCATAGAGTTCCAATATTCAGATTTACTATTCTTATAGATCTTAGATATTTTATCTGGTGTTAGGTACCATCTGTATTGCATTTTGTAGTAATTTTCTTTCATGTCATAATTCAATGTATATTTCATTCTCCTTTTCAAATTTTCTCCCATTCCTCAAAAAGTATTGGTTTACCAACATCTTGAGCTCAATTAATCATAAATTGTTTGACTGTCTCATCTTCCATTTCAGTTTTCAGGAGTATCTTGTACAATTTTGAAACCACATGTTGCATATCATGTGTCATCAATTTTCTGAATTCTGTTTCTTCCTTCTCAATTTGTCTTGTTTTTTCATCCATTTTGAATCTTTCTGTAATTTGTCTATACAGGAACCAATTACATTTTAGTCCTTCAGGTATAAGTTCGTCCATTGTTTTCATTCTGAATCTTCCTTTTTCCCAGATCAGTAAATCATTATATGTAGTCCATTCTTCTTCTTTCATTTTTTTCTCTTCTGTAGAAGGCCTCATTTACTGATGTCCATTTTGGTACATTTCAAATAAATATTCTTTAATATTTTTGCCAGATTTTCAGTAAAGATTTCTTTATATAGTGGTTATTGAATTGATTATATTGATTCTTTATATAGTGGTTATTGATTTTAACTTTGTCATATATCAAATATGCGTGCCAGCCAAATGGAAAATCAGGACTTTCTAGTTGTAGAAGTCTTTCATCCCTAATCTTCACCGATTCCTTAATCCATTCCAAACAACATGCATGATAGTATATTCTTAAGTTTGGGATATTCATGCCTCCTCTTTCATTATTGTCCTGTAAATTTTTCAGTTTTATTCTAACTTTCTTCTCATTCCAAATTAATATCGATAAATCCTTTTCCCATTCTTTGAAAAGTATATCATTAGTTATAATCAGAAGAGATTGAAAAAGGAATATAATTTTCACTGTGACATTCATTTTAATAGTTGAAATCCTGCCAATCCACAAGAGATTCATTTTGGACCATCTTTGTGGATCTTTTTTTTTTATCTCTTGCCAAGTTTTAGTATAATTATTTTTATATAATTCTGAATGTTTAGTTGTAAGGTAGATCCCCAAATATTTTTTTTTCTTTATTTCAAATTTAGAAATTTGTTGGAGTGCATCTCTATCAGTCTTGTCCATGTTCATCACTAACATATTGGTTTTCTTTTCATTTATTTTCAAGCCTGCTTATTTTCCATATTCATTAATTGTCTCCATTAAAGGTTGAATACTTTCTAAAGGATACGATAGTGTTGTCACCATGTCATTTGCATAAACCCATACTTTATATTCAAATCTTTTAATCTTTATTCCTGTTATTGAATTGTTCTGTCTAATTTTGTTCAGAAGTACCTCTAGTGTTGTTAATATAAACAATAACGGGGACAATTTTGTTTTACAACTGTCTTATGAAGTGAACTGACTAAAAGATACTATCCCATCTAAGGCCACCCAGTGAACTTCATTATTGAATATGGCTTTGAATTCAAGTTCTCCCTACTCTAAATTCCATCCACTATACCAACACAATTCTCAAATATATCCATTGGTGAGAGAAGGAAGCCTCGATGTAAACAATGGAGGTTTGATCTGTTGGCACCATTTAAAACATGGTGTGATTCATTGAAAAAAAATATACATATTAGCTCCTGAAATTAAAAGACAATGATATTAATTCAACCCATCTCTCTTTATCTGATTCAAGTTTACAGTTACAAATGTAAGCTATTATGTACCATTTATTATTCAAATTAGCTATGGTATTTCAACTGTCCTTAACATGTTTGCTGTGCATCATTTTTGCTAGGAAGTGTCATTAAACTTACAACAGAGTTATCCCTGAAATTTTATGTACATGCACACTTATGTGAAGTCCTCATTTTCAATAGTTTTAAATGATAACATTGTGATACATTGGGGGTTTGTTTGGTTTTAGGGGTTTTTTTGTTTTGTTTTGTTGTTGTTTTTTGTCTTGTTTTTTGGGGGGGTTGTTTGTTTGTTTGTTTGTTTTTTTATTATTTTTTATTTGGCTGTTAAAAGGTTAGTCACTCAGTAGAAACCTGTAAGGAAAATAGTCATCATATTAGCTAGTCATACATATATCTGTTTTTCAACTTCAAGTAATCAGTATATAAGTAATGGAAATCAAAAGCTCAGATGTATGTATCTGATACAGAATTAGACAAAGCCAAAGGATATAAGTAACAAGTAAGCAACATGAACATCAAAAATTTGGGAATGGCCTATTGATGCTGTGTAGATATGATGTCATGTGACTGACATACTGAATTTAGAAAGTTCTAAGAGTAGATTTTTGTTGTTTCATTGAAGTTCCTCCAGGATGGGGAGGGGTTTAGATGGAATTCCTTCTCACCTCTCTCTGTTGTTTTACTGAAGCTCCTTCAGGATGGGGGGGGGATTAAATGGAGTCCCTTGCCAACTCTCTCTGTTGTTTCACTGAAGTTCCTACATGATGGAGAGGGGTTTAGGTAGAGTTCCTTCTTACCTCTCTCTGTTTTTTTCATTGAAGCTCCTTTAGGATCAGGAGGAGTTTAGATGGAGTCTGTTCCCAACTCTCTCTGTTGTTTCACTTAAGCTCCTTCAGGATGGGGAGGGGATTAGATGGAGTTCCTTCCCAATTCTCTCTGTTTTTAATAATCATAAATTATAAATAAAACTTTTACTTGTATCCTGCTTTTCTACTATAATAGCAATCAAAGTGGCTTACATGTTTAAACAGACCAATACAATACTCTCTTTCACTGAAGCTCCTAGGATGGGGAGGGGTTTAGATGGAGTACCTTCTTACCTCTCTCTGTTGTTTGATTGAAGCTCCTTTAGGATGGACAGGGGGTTAGATGGAGTCCCTTCCCAACTGTTGTTTCACTGAAGCTCCTTCAATATGGGGGGGGGGGGTTAGATGGAGTCCCTTGCCAACTTTCTCTGTTGTTTCATTGAAGCTCCATCAAGATGGGGAGGGCTTTAGATAGAGTCCCTTCTCACCTCTCTCTGTTTTTGGATTGAGATCGACTCGAGGGCAGTTAACAACAAAGAGTAGGTAGAGCCAGTGTTTCCTAATGGTTAGAGTGTAGGACTAGGACTCTGGAGACCAGTGTTCAATTCCCAGCTCAGCCATGAAACCCACTGGGTGGCCTTGGGCAAGTCACACACTCAGCTTCTTCTTTTTTTATTTGTTGGGGGATATAAAATTCTTTATTATTATTACAATCTACATATAATAATATTTTTAAAAAACCTTTACATAATATTCCATATATATATGGTAAATCACATTAATTATTCATTCTTTAGTACCTTATCTAAATCTAATTCATATCAAACCATTTAATATTGATTAAATCAGTAAATTAAAAAAACATAAAATTGTTGTTAATATCTTCATTCTTTTTACTCTCTTCTTTTCACCATATGCTTTTCATAATTCAACAAAGGTATAATACTATTAATTTATCCTAATTCATTTCCCCACTTTTCTTTTCCTTTTTTCTCTGTCTCTCTTTCTTTTCTTTATTTTTTCCCCTTCCCCAAGTGCTCCCCATCACCAGAGCCTAGTATGTTGCATCGGCACAAAGGACACCGAACGCGATTAAATTTTTTGGGTAAAACATCAGCCACAACTTTTATTTTGTACAGGGTCTTGATATCAATCAATTAAACATTTAAATAGCAGTTTTCTTACACAAAAACTTGTTCTTGATGCATGCATCTGTGTATTTAAGTACAAGCGCTATTGAATAATTGCTTCTAACACAGCATGCGTCAAGTCCTTTAGTTTATGCAATATACAACAACAATAACTAATCCCTCCCCCAACCGGATATGACATCATAAGGATTCTTATTACCTCATAACATTATGACATCCTTCTATGTTAAAATGACATCATACAAATTTGGTTAACCTAATGACATATATCAAATTTAGAATCATTTATTAACCCAATTAGTATTTTTCAATTAACCTAATTATTCCCTGAAGGGGGGGGCCCTGCCTGCCAACCAAATTTATCATAACAATAAACCTAATAGACCCAGAACCTCCAGTTGTGACAAAATTTATACATTACCTAATTGAACTTCTCACCATAAACAATTCAAACAATTCTTTATGCCTCCACCCCTAATAACTCCTAACCAACATATTAATAAAACTTTTGATCCAACTTATAATTGATAATGTTATTATTCTCTGGGAGGGCGAAAAACCCAAATTGACACTCTGGGAAAATTCCATCCCAGCCCCCAAAGGCGATCAGCCAAAACCTGAGTGTAAATAACATGTTTACCAATTAATTAAGGGTGGGAGGGATGGGTTGCTCGTTTGCAATTAAAATGGCTGCCGACACGTGGCAGCATGGGGCTAAATAGCCCCGTAAATCTCGCTCTTAGTCTCGCGAGATTTGAACTCTCGTGAGACCAAGTAGTGAGATCTCCTTTTGATTGGCTAAGCAGACCAGCAAGGGTGGGCCTTCCAGTCTGCTCAGCCAATCACGTGTCGATGCCCTTTTTTGGGGGCGACGCAACCAAAGGCCCCTCCTGACTTGTCGGGGGGGTGTCTTTCATATTAATCTCCCGTCCAAAATTGTAAATCTTCCTGTGGAGGTAAAACACCTCCCTCCTTTACTAAAGCCTTTTGTACAAATATTTTCCGTATTACTTCAAAGTCATTTCTCTTCATTATTCCTTTTTTTAATCTTAATTCCACAAGTTAACTTATCATTAATTGCTATTTGTAGATCTCCCTGATCTTTGCACTTTTTTGCTATGATTAATCTTGCCGCTGTTAATAAATTTGTAATTAAGTCCTTTCTAACTTGAATACAATTGATCTTATCATATATAGATAATAATGCTATCCTTGGACAAAATTCTAGATCAATTTCTGTTATTTGTTTTCTCTCTTTAAATACTAATTGCCAACATTTCTTTACAGATCTGTAGCCCCACCACATATGAATATATGTACCAATTTCTTGGCACCCCCTCCAGCATAGCCTTGAACAGTTTATATTATTTATAGTTTATATTATTTAATCTTACTGGCATTAAATACCATCTCCATTTTAATTTATGGTAATTCTCCTTTACCCTTCTGGATAAATGTTTTAAATGGCATTTATTCCAAATTTTCCCCATTCTTGAATATTTATTATTTGTGCTAAATCCTCCTCCCATATTATCCTAAGATATTGTTTTAATATTTTTAATATTAACTTGTATATTTCACTTGTAACTCCTTTCAAAGTTTCATTTATCTCCATACTATCTCTTTGCCTAATCATTTGTTCAAATTTTGTGTATTCTCTAAACTCTGTAATTTTCCTATTCCAATTTTTTGTCCATTGTTCCAATTGAATACAATTAAACCAGGTTAATTTAGGACTTTGTAATTTCTCCTTCATCTTTCCTTTATCCTTCATTATCTTTATCCATTCTTTTATCCTATATATTTCTTGTTTCCTTAACTCTTTCCCTAATTCTTCCTTTAAATTTATTGGAAAGTTTTTTATCATTATAACTGGTGTTAATGGTGAGATAGCTGGCATTAATTTTTCTTTATATTTTTTTTCCAAATCTCTAGTATATTCCTTAAAAAGGGGTTTTCTATTCCTTTCATATTTTTTTTCATATTAAGGTCCTTAAAAATATATGTTTTTCTCTTCTTTCTCTATTTTGGTTGTTTCCATCTCTAACCAATCCCCCTTTCTCTATAATTCCATCTATAATATATCTTAATTGATATGCATTATAGTACCATTTTATATTTGGGAGACCCAAACCTCCAGCTTTTTTGGGTTTATACCAATGTATTTTATTAATCCTCACTTTTTTTTCCCATTACAAAAATTATTTATTAATATTTGCCAGTTTTTTATTTCCGCATCTGATATTTTTATTGGTAATATCCTAAACAAAAAATTTATCTTAGGTAAAATTTTCATTTTTACTAATGGTAGTCTTCCAAACCATAATAATTTAATATTTTTATATTCTTCTATTTTCCTTTTAATTTCTATCCTTAATTTATTATAATTTTGTTCCTCTAATTTTTGTAATTTTTTTGTAATATTTATACCTAAATATCTAATTTTATATTTTAATTTAATATCTATCATTTTATCCTTTAGAAAATCTTGTTCTTCTGCTTTTATATAATTAAATAGCATTAACTCTGATTTATTTCAGTTTACTTGTAGGCCTGACGTTTCCTCAAACTCCTTTAAGTGTCATCTAACTTTGTCCATTTTTTAAGTGGATCTTTAATTGTCAGTAGAGTATCTTCTGAAAATAAGCTTATCTTATTTAATTTTCTAATCCCAATTCCTTCCAGATTTTCATCTTCCCTAACAGCATTTGCTAAGATTTCAATAATTATTGCAAATAATATAAAAAAACTATGACTAAAATGTTGCATATAAGATTTTAAGATTTCATTGCTTTTCTGTTGCTGTTCGACTAGCAGCTGGAAGCCATGTTTTCATTCCTTCGTCAGAATCTGGCTTTTTTCCCAGAACTGGTGAATCTTGTTGTTCTTTGGGTTCCTTAGGTTTGGCTCCCGTTCTGGTTTTCTGCATTGTCTCCACAGATTTTGTTTTTTTCGTTTCTATATTATGAGTTTCAAAATTCTCTTGTGAGTTTGCTTTTGGCAAATGAAAATATGCTTTGTCTGAGGGGTGTTGTTTGGATTCCTTTTTCTAATTTAAGACATTCTGCTTGAGGCCCTTTTTTTTGGCTCTTGGACATCTGCCTATTTCTTATCAGTATTGTGTCTCTGTTACAAGACACAGTTTTGTATTTTCTCTCTTTTTTTATACTTTAATTAATATTTCTGTATTTTAGTTCGGAATCACTGTCTCATATATCTAGGCTGTTTTAATTTGCTTTTATTTTGTAAATTTTAACATCCACTTAGTGTAACAACCATCCGGCTGGCAGTGCCAAATGATAAAATGCTGTTTATTTTTCTTTCTGCACTTTCAAGCTTTTTTTAAACAGTTCCATTCTATTCTCCTCCCCTTCCGATTTATTTATAATTACTCACAGTCTTTGTTCCATTTAAAAGAGATTATTTGAGTTATTTGCTTTAGCTTTCAGGAGAAAATGATCTTAGCTGTTCACACCATCGCTCGTGGCATCTCCCCCACACACACTCAGCTTCAAGGGAAGGCAATGGCAAACCTCCTCTGAACAAATCTTTCCATGTAAACCCCATGATAGGATTGCCTTAGGGCCACCATAATTCAGAAACTACCTGAAGGCCCATAAGAAGAAGAAATAATGGAGAAAAGATAAAGAAGGCAAATCATCCCATTTTCAGTAATGTATGAGGGTTTACCAAGCTTTGTACATTTTTGAGATTCAAATTCTGAGTCATGTTTCATAGGTACAGCTGTCCAAATGGTTAGCCATATTTACCACAGCCATGGGTGTACAGTTTAATGTAATACAGGTATGGCTGAGTAGATGTGTTCCTGGGAATTAGTTATTTAGCAACAGATTTGATCCCAGAGGCAGAAGTAACGTGGATAGAATAGGGATAGGTTGCTTCAGTACAAAAAAGTAGAGCAGTTTAACATGTTTAAGCTAGTGTTGTATTCAAGACTAACAATATGTGCATGTGAAATAAAATGACCAGGCCAGGTAAACCTTGCATAAATAAAGACAAATATATTGAACCTTCTAGGGGTTCTTCTAATTGAAGTAATGGAAAGTATTTCCTTTTTAAAATTTAAAACAGTTATAGCATTTAAATATTAGTATAATTGAATTCTAAAATTATGATACTTAACTTTCATCAGTTTGAGTTTGTTTGTTTTTTAAATCAAGGATCCTTTCTGTAGAATGTTTAGCTCGACTAGGATACATATGGAGACCCTCACCACTACAGAGAGTCCAACAGCCAAATACTCCTTTCTGATTCTCACTGTTTTCATGTCCTCATTTACTTAGGACCTTATCACACGGGGTCCAAAGCAGACAGAATCCAAATGA